AAAATTATTAAATTAATTTATAAATATATAATAAATATAATTTAAAATAAATAAAAAATTAAAATATTAGTCTCTAAAACATTTTAGCTTAAGATACTAATTGGTATCATACATACATATATATATAAAAGATTAAATTATTATTATGATAATTTAATTATTAAAATAATTAATTTGTATTTTAATAATTGTAAAAAATAAATCCAACCGATATGAATTAATATCTTGACGGGTTAGTTGCTTACGTTAGCCTAAGTAAACTGAATAAGTGGAAAATATGAAATGAAAAATGGAAATTATATTTTCCAGTTGTTTCAACAAATGTTTCCAAGTCTATATAATTTCTAGTTGAAGAAAAATCATCCAGTTTAAAACGTGATCTTGTTTTTCTAATTTATATATTTATTTATTTTGGTTGAACTTTAATTTACATTTACTAATTATTTCTTTGACAGTAACATATAAAAAATGAGTGGTCACGAAAATTAAAATAAAAAATGTGAAAGGGAAGAAGATCGTTGACAGCAGGAGACCTTGGAAGTTTGAATTTTGACCTCTCATTTGCAAAGCGACACAGGAAAGGGAAAGGAGCACGAGATAGACTTCAATTTAATCTCCATTTTTCATCAGCAATTTAACATCCACATGATATTGGTTCTTTTTAAATCATCATATGATTATACTTTTCTGATTTTATATTAAAATCTATAATCATAAAAAAAACAATTTTTAATTAGTAGTTAAGGAAATAAAAGTATTTACTAAAATGATTTATCATGTTAAAGTTATTAAACTTCTTTAATACTAACCTACAAATGACACTTCATTGTGAATTTTGATTAAAAATTAAAAATAAAATAAATAATAAAAAGTAATTAAATTTAAATATGATAAACCGATTAACAATGAGTGTGAGTAGTTTTAGATAATTAATTAGAGGATATAATAAAAATAAAATAGAAAAAGTGTTTTAAAAATTACAGGATAAAATAGTCAACAAAAAAATATACACAAAAAATATATGCCTTTATCAATTGTAGATACTAGATAAAAAAGTATTTCTCTTATTTTAAAATAAAAATAAAAAGATAACGAGTCTTCTTAATTAAAAAAAAATAATTAATGATTACTTAAAAGATAAAAAAATTAAAAAGTAAATATGAATAGAAAAAAGAGAAAATAAATAATAAATAATAAATAATAAAAGAAAAAGTAATTTAAAAATATAGTAAAAGATTCGCTAAAATTTTTATACACAAAAAAATATTATTCTTTTTTATTAATAATATAAATTTATCGATTAAACTGATTAACTATATTTTACAAGATAAACTAAAATATCTTTAGCTACTATTTCAAAATATTCATCGGAA